ATAATAATAATAATAATAAATAAAATTAAATAAATATTTTTTACAATGAAAAAACACACGCACACACACACACACGCACACACACGCACATGTCAGGCACCATGTGCACACATGCCCAAAATCCTGACTGCAAGAAGAAATGAGGGGAAAACGACTGGTGTGACGACGCCCCACTGGAGGCTGCTTTATCCGTCTCTCTCTCTCTCATTCACTCTGGGAAGTGCATATACTTTCTGGCAATTAAAACAAGAAAGAAAGAAATGTCTTCTTCTTAGAAAATCTTCACTATCAAATGAAGCTCCCTCTCCCATTACATCTACTCAGCCTTGCTCCCCCAAACACATACTCATTTATTAAGACAATATAATTCACACTTTAAAAGCCAACTGAAGGGAAATAGACTTGGGAAAATTCCATGAAACCTGAACAAATACACAGCGTGTGAGTCATAGGAAGTGGGAATCGAAGAGGAAACGTTGAAACCTCAGAAAACAGATGCTCTCGAAAATGAGCCAGTCAGGATACAAATGAACAGCTCCGAGCTCCCTACCACAGGACTGTTTTTCCTTGCTCTGGGGTCAAGACAACGCAAACATTTTGGGATCAAAACAATGTAAACATTTTTTAAAAAGACAAAGAAAGCAAGGCAAAAAACCTTCACAAATAAACGATTAATCTCTGTTCAAAACACAGCTGTTCTTGCTGCACCGTTACAGGCTTTCCTGGGAGTGTATGAGGACAGAGAATGGGTGACAGCCTGCCTAGGGCCACCCGCTCCTCTAACCTGAGGTCCCCTGCCTTCTCTTCCAGGAATACCCAGAAGCCTTCACTCTCTAGGTTAAAAAAAGGATGTTGCAGAATAAAAATAGGTTGCAAACAAAACTGGTTGAATGCTGGTTTTTCAGAATTGATAAAAATATTGGGTTGTCAGAAAATTTATGACGCATTTTTACATAGAAAAACATAGAGAAAATACATCACGACTTTTCCGAAGACCCAAAACGAACAGGGTGGGGTCTGAGGGTGCTTTTTGTTCTTCCTAGGTTTTTTTACTCAAAATAACAACAGATGGATCTTCTTTCTGCCCTTTGAACTAAACACATATCCCTCCCACACACAATTTTTTTTTTGCCTGAGGGCATATGTGCTCACCAGAGAGAGAAAGCACCCTCCAATGTGGCATGGCCAAGCCACAATCCTTTCTCCGCCATTTCTCCATCCTGTCAGATCTTGGGAACACACATACACATGCACCCAGCATGTTTTGTAAGCCACTGGGGCCAGAATTCAAACCACTAAGTTGGTCATGTGGGATCCAGCTGTGGGAACCCCATATGCTTTTTAAAAGCTAAAAGCTATCTTTTTTTTTTTTTTTAAAGGCATGTGTGCTCTCCAGAGAGAAAGGAAGAACGCACTACCCCACCCCCACCCCACGGGAGATGGTCAAGTCACAATTCTTTCTTTTCCATTTCTCCTTTTGGGATTTTTGGGCATGCACATACATGTACCTGACATGTCTTTAGGCTGTTTTAGTCTGGGACTCGAACCATGTGTTAGTTGACCTGTGGGAGCCAACTTAACCACCATGCCACTGGCTGGCTGGAAGCTATCCTTTTTTGAATATATCCTTTTTCTTCTTTTTATAGGCGCTAAACCTAAAGTTTCCACAACATATTACAAATCAAATCAGTACACCCTCAGCACATACGAGAAATACAGGTTTTTACCCTATGGCAGTTTCCATTTAGGCTACAAGAAAACAGGGACAATTCAAAAAGTAAAAACAAACAAAAAATAGAATCAGGTGTTGGCGCAGGGAAGCTTCCTGTTATCACTTCCGTAGAGTTTTCCTGACTACGACAAATGGGCTTTATATTTCTTCTTTCCACGGCGAGGTAAAAATGACCCACAGCGAGGGGCCCAGTTTTTTCACAACAGTGAATGAAGGACCCCTTCCTTACACTGAGGGGGTTCAAGTAAACAAGTTTGGTGTGGCACTACTGTGACTATCACACTGAACTGGAAGGAATATTGTCATTATTTTATTACTCCAGTAAAGTCTTTCTAAGCAAAATATAGACAACACCAAAAAAAAAAAAAAAAAAAAAGTAACATTAGTTATTTTCCTGGCTATGCATTCGATTTTGTTATAGCTCGAGCTATGTATATGCATCATTGCAAAAGGCAAAAAACTGAACCGGATGTTAAGTTTGGTACATTTTTGTGGGCTGGTAGACAATGCCATCCTTGGGACCAGCAGTTAGCGTAATGGCTATGTCGCTGGACTCCCACGTTAGTTGACCGTGGTTCGAGTCCCGGACCCGGTGGCTTAAACTCACGCCGGGCGTGTGTGCGTGCATGCCCAAGATCCCAAGAGGGGAACGGGGGAAGAGGGATTGCGGCGTGGCCATTCCCCCTGGGGGGTGATTGGGTGATTTCTCACTTTCTGTCTGTCTCTGTCTGTCTGGCAAGCGCATGTGCCCTATAGCCAAAACCTCTCCCCTCCCCCCCCAAAATAGAATGCCATCCTCAAAATGTCTTATTTATTTGTTTTTTGTTTGTTTGTTTGTTTGTTTTTGAGAGGTTTTGGCTATAGGGTGCGTGTGCTCGCCAGACAGACAGAGAGAGACATAGAGACAGAAAGCGAGAAATCACCCCCCAGGGGGAATGGTCACGCCGCAATCCCTTCTCCTCCATTCTCCTCTTGGGATTTTGGGCACACACGCACACGCACCCGTGAGTTTTTAAGTCACCGGGTCTGGGACGTGAACTGCAGTCGACTATGTGGGAATCCAGCGACATAGCCATTATGCTAACTGCTGGTTCCCGAAAATGTCTTATTTATAAGAAACTAGTCTTTGCCTTTTGGGAGCCAGTTGCTAAAAGAACAGAAAAGGAAATTATCTTTTCCTTACATTCCCTTTTGTTCCATTTTTATTATAAACCATTTATGAATTACCTATTCAAAAATATAAAGATATACTTTTAAAAGTCCTAAAAAATCTCAAATATGTGAAACAATGTTATGCTTTTAGCTGAGAGTAGCTTTGGGATGGGACAACTGAGCAACAGAAATACTTGGTGGAAAACTCAAATTCTTTCAACCCAATTCTCTCTTTTTTTAAAGTTTATTTCTTCTGAGAGAGACAGAGAGAGAGAGAGAGAGAGAGAGCGCCTCCTTAATATGGTCTTAACACCACAATCCACCCCCAGTTTCAACCAGCCCTGAATCATGGACCTGCAGGGGCCCAGCACGTTCAGGGATGTCTCTTGTCCTAAATCCAGAACTTTCCAACATGGGTCAGCCTTACAGAGCATTATCCTTGACCACTGACCACTACAATGCCACCAGCCCCGACTAGCCTGGTTCTTAATCAGCAAATGCAAGCTGACACACAAGTCAATATGAGAAAGAGATAAGTTAGGGACCTTTATTATTAAAGCTCTTTGCTTTCGACCCATGAGGAAAAGTGCCAAAACCTCTTACCATCCCTGCCATCATCATATCCTGGTCAGCATCATCTTGTTTTTTCTTTAGCTCGTTTTCCGCCTCCTGCAGTTGCTTCAACATATTGTTCACCTCATTATCCAGATCCGTAACTTCTGCGAAAGTTCTTTCAGCTTCTGCCTTGGTGCTGGTGGCATTCTAGGCACAAAATACAGAAATTGCTTATTAAAAAGAAAAAGCTTTCCACTTTCTAAAGTGTGCTCTCACTTCTGTACAATTTATAAAGTGACTCGAAAATACAGAAGGAATACAACAATGATGTGAAGCATTGTTGGCTTAAATTGTCATTTATCTGGGTTCCAAACAGCAGTCCATCAATAACAAGAATAACCCAAACATCAATACCTAACATAAGAGCGTTTTGTATTTTATAAAGCACTTCCATTTTTTATCTTCTTTTTCTTTTTTTATTTTGTTTGTTTTGTTTCAGTCAGAGTTGCACTAGATAGTGATCCTCCCGCCTCCACCTTCCAAGTAGCTGGACCATGGGTGAATGCCACCATGTGTGACTTTTCAGATGGGGACTCGCTGTGTTGCCTACACTGGCTGCGAACCCATGGTCCTCCTGCCTTCTGAATAGCTGGGACTACAAGTGCAGGCCACCTCGCTGGGCTTTTAGGCAGGCCCAGGAATCGAACCTGGGTCTCCCATGTGGCTTCAGGCTGTTAAGCAGCAGTGTCCACCAGCATGTGGACCACAGCCGGGCCTGTATTCCCTTTAAGCATTAAATCTTCCTGTTATTGTCGCCATTTTTAGTTGAGGTGACACAGCTAGCAAATGATAAACATGACAGTATATACTTTCCACCATAACATACTGATCAGACTCTTGCACTTTTATACATTTTAAATCCAAAGCTAGCCTAGTTCCTCTTGGCAGTTAAACATGATGTACAAAACAATCACAATCCTGATGCTTTATGAAATGCAATTAAGCTAACGCTAACTGTTCTGAAGAAACTGTAAGACATTTCTATGATTCTCAAATGCCTAATTTTAGAATCAGCTCCAATTTTTTCTATAAATAAAACAAACAGATTGACCTTTAAATTGGAAAAAGCTGGCCTAAAGAAATCACTTTTTTTGGTTTGTTTTTATTAGAGGGTATGTGTGCTTGCCAGAGAGAGACAGAGAGGGGAGAGGGGAGAGGAAAAAGCACCCTCCCTAGGGAATGGTCATGCAACAATCCTCCTCCATTGCTCTCTCCTTTCAAGATTTTGGGCAGGCATGCACATGTACCCAGCATGCTTCTCAAGTCACCAGGTCTGGGCCTCAACTACATGGTGGGCCAGGGGAGATCCAGCACCTTAACCACTGGACCAGGAAGCTGGCCCGAAGTTCCTCTTTAAGATGAGTATAAAGAACCCCAGCAGGGGACCAGCAGTTGACATAATGGCTATGTCACTAGACTCCCATGTAGTCAACCACAGTTTGAGTCCCGGACCCGGTGGCTTAAACTCAGGTTGGGTATGTGTGCATGTGTGCCCAAGATCCTGAGAGGAGAATGGAGGAGAAGGAATTATGTCATGGCCATCCCCCCTGGGGGGTGATTTCTCATTTTCTGTCTCTCTGTCTCTCTCTTTCTGGCGAGCACACGTGCCCTATAGCAAAAACCTCTCCAAACAAAAGAACCCTGGCAGCAGCAGTTACAGAGCCTACATAGCAGGGGGTATTGGGCATGGCAACATCTTCAAAGAGGGTCTAGAAAGCTGCACAGGTTTGGTACTTTAAGACTGGAGAACATGACAGCTGCCAGGTCAGAGACGTTGACTCAGGCAAAGTCTGACTTTGTGTGTGAAGAAGCTTGTAGCCCTCTGAAGCCATCTCCTCCTGTCAACTCAGACCCCACTCTGAGACCTAGTAGAAATGGTAAAGGGCCCTTTCACTGCTGACTCCCTAGGTGACATGGTTACCTACAAGCTAATGCCTAGAAAAAAAACAAGATAAGGATGGTTTAAGGCAGTGTTACTGGAGTTGAGGAAAACATATATACAAGGGCTCTGGGGTCTGGAAAGAAGTGGGAGAGTGAGCGAGTCAAGACCGTTGTGGAGAAGAGGAGAGAGCACACCTTCTGGACGGCGCTCGCGATCCTCTCCGCCTCGTGCGCCTTGTTCTTTGCCTCAGTGGCGTCGGCCGCAGCGTTGCCCAGAGCCAGCTGTGCTTCCCTCGTCTTTTCATTGGCTTCTATGATGGTCTGGTTGATGGTAGGGATCTTCTTCAGTGCCTCCTCCGCAGCCGTCTTGTTATCGTTCACGCGTTTATCAAAATCTAAAATGAGTTCAAGAAATGCATTTGACCAATCTCCCAACAAGCAACACGAGAACCTTTCCAGGAACTGCAACTGGATTTTGTTTTATGAACAATGAAAGTCGGGGGGTGGGGATAAAAACAGCATGGGCTGAAATATGAGAAGAGCAAAGTGCACATCTCTGCACGGAAGATTTCCCGGAACCGTCACAGGAATGAACATCTGTTTTTGGAAAGAGAACTCTCACTTAAAAAAGATTTTAAACTGCTTTAAACTTCCAACTCTACCTGTATTAAAAGATTTATTTAGTGTTTACTGTATTTCAGGTACTGAGTTAAGCATCAAGTCCTTTAATGCCAGGATGGTCAATTTTTTTTAAGTTTATTATTTCTTCTATGAGTATGAACAGAGAAAGACAACACCTACAGAGAGAGACAGCACCTACAGAGAGAGACAGCACCTATGACAGCGTCCCAACACTGAGATCTAGTCCCAGCCTCAGCCAGCGCTGGCTCCTGGACACATGTGCCCAGTGTACTCAGGAAGTTCTCTGGAAGGGAACCCAGAACTTTCTCACGTAGGTCAGCCTCATGGAGGGTTGAGTTTTATAGCCGTGCCACTGTCTAGCTCCTGAGAAAACTGAGGTTAAAACAGTCCGATCACCTGTGGAGATGGGATGTGGCCCCAAATCCACTGACATAAGAGCTTATACCTTTGACTATTATCCTGTAAAGATTCCGTTTTTAAAACAATTTTCGTAAGATGTTTTTTGGTATAGAGCATGTGTGCTTTGCTGGAAAGACAGAGAGACAGAAGGCGAGAAGCTACCCTCCCAAGGGGGGATGGCCACACTGCAATCTCTTCTCATCCATTCTCCTCTTAGGATTTTGGGCGCGTGCGCGCGCACACACACACACACACACACACACAC